AAAGTTATAAGTTATAGGCATTAAAAATGGGTCACTCTCGGCTGGGACACTATGTATTTCAAAACCTATACACTTAAGAAAAAAGTGTTTAAAACAGAAGTTTCAAAGATTTCTTCTTCTCTTCAAAATGGCATAATTATCTGCACATAGCTTCTAGTCGTGTTTACATTTTCCCTGTTGAGGTACCTTCAATGGACACTGAAATCTGCCACTTTCGTCTAATTCTAATTTAACTCACCATGTATTTTTCACCGTTTCGGAGATAGCGATAGTAATATCGCTTCAAACGGACACCCCGTATATTGTATATTTATATTGAAAATGAGCAAGAGTATGACAGCGGGACCTCTATTGTTGAAAAGGTTTATCGTACCTACCTACTTTACGGAAACACCGGAAACATTGATGATGATGAAAAGTACTTTATTGTCCAAGAAATATTACATGTAATAGGTCTTATTGACAAAGCATAATTAAAAATAACCTACCAACAACAATTGCAACATGTTATTCAAATCTAAACAATAAATTTGTCAAACAATAAAATAGCCTAGAATCAAAATCAAAAAAAAAATCAAAGAAAACAAAATAAAAATAAAAACAAAAACAAAAACAAAAATAAAAATAAAAAATAAAAATAATAAAAATAATTAAATAAAAGTGAGGCATGTAATAAACAAGGTAAATGTTAATTTTAACAAACAGTGTATACACAATACTATTTAGTCAATAATTACCTACTAAAATTAAGACTGTTCAAAAAACTCGTCATTTGTGTAAAAAGCATTTTTCAATAAAAATGCTTTTAGCAGGTTTCGGAATGCCTTTAGTGTTGGGGCGTTTCTAATTTGCAGACTTATAGTATTATAAATTTTAATGCCATTGTAGATGAGAGACCTCTTAACTAAATTGGAATGAGGTATAGGCAGTGGGATAGAATTGTTCTGACGGGTTTGATATACTTGCTGGTGATTCGGAAGGCAATGTTTGTTTTTATGAATTAAGCATGCGGTTTCAAGGATGAAAAGAGAAGGAAGAGTAAGGATACTCTTTTGGATGAAGAGATTTTTATAGTTAGTTCTAGGGTGAGCATTACACAGATTTCGAACTGCACGCTTTTGGAGGATGAAAACCGATCGAAATAGATACTGTGCACAAGCTCCCCAAAAGGGTAATATGGGATTCGACCAGAGCAAAGTACACACTGCGAGCTACTTCCTTGCCAAGTTCCCTGAAAGTAGTTCTTACTGAAAAACAGCCGGATGCCAGTTTTTTGTTCAATTTTAGAATGTGTAGATAAAATTTAAGACTTTCGTCGATAATAAGTCCTAGGAATTTCGAATTGTCTACAAAAGAGATAGAGTCATCACCTGTAGCAAGGTCTTGAGGTACAAAATAGAAGCCAATCATATGAGTTTTGGACATATTTAAGCACAGACGGTTAGCATCGCACCACTGTTTAACCTTCTTAAGATCAGATTCAATGTCCTGTCGTAGTTGCGTAAGGTTTTTATTGTGCCAGAAAATAGTTGTGTCATCAGCAAACAACGTGAACTGCCCAGATATCCCAAGTTGTGTTAAATCATTAATAAAAATTAGAAAAAGAATAGGTCCCAGTACAGAACCCTGGGGAACGCCACAGGAGATACACTGCCTGCTGGATGACAACCCATTCGCGTGAACAAACTGCTCACGTTCACATAAGTAGCTCTCAAACCACGACAAGACCTTAGCTCGAATACCATAGGCGTAAAGTTTCCGCAGCAGTATCTCGTGAGTTACGCAGTCAAACGCCTTAGACAGGTCGCAAAACACTGCGGCCGAGGCTTCACGTTCGTTAATGGACTGGAAAACTCTAGATAGAAACAAATACATAGCGTCAGAAGTATTCTTGTTAGCCTGAAATCCAAACTGATCTCCAGCTATGATGCTGTTGTCAGCCAGAAATGACATAAGGCGAGACTTTACGAGACTTTCAATAAGTTTGGAGAGCGTTGACAATAGAGAAAAGGGTCTGTAGTTAGATGGAGCTGCGTGATCGCCGCCCTTGTAAAGAGGGAGGACTTTGGCAATTTTAAAGGATGATGGCAAAGTGCCTTTCATAAAAGATAAATTCATAACATCAGATAATGTGGCAATGGCGTTATTGGGAAGACTCTCTAGAATTTTTAATGAGATACCATCGTCAGTGACGGCTTTTCTATTTTTCATGAAAGTGATTGTTTTTAGAATTTCGCGAGGGGTAGTGGGACGAAACGCATGGAAGTGTTCGGGAATGTTGATGTTTGACAGGTATGAGAGTGGTTCTATATTGGATGGTAAATCTTTGGTTAAATTAAGAGCAACTGAGCAGTAATATTGATTTAGAATATTGCTGTCGATGTTTACTTGAGATGAATTATTTGCCCTATTAGTTATTTCGTTAACGATGATCCATGACTCTTTTTGTTTATTGTTAGATTTAGACCGGCGTTTAGAGTAAAATAACTCTTTGGCTTTACGAATGACCTTCCTATAAGTTTTTTTATAAAAAAGATAGTAGGATTGTAAGAGTACGCTTTCCTAAGGCTGTTAGGGAATCTAAGATTAGAGGCAGAAGTGCGGATTCCAAGTGTCAGCCATTTTCTTCGATCTTTGCGCTTTGGTTTTAAGCGGCGAAGAGGAAAAGCTTTGCCGACCAGATTGGCAAGAGCATTATGGAAAGCACTTAAAGGATCATGATCTCCGAAACGGAGTCCCAGTTAAAAGACCCACAAGACAGTCGAAATTTCTGAAAGTTGCCACTACTTAAATTCGTCCTAGTTTTGCTGTATTATTACTGTTATCGTAGTCGAAAGGGAAGGTAGCTAAAATAGCTCGATGATCAGAAAGGTCAGGATCAAGCACGGAACAAGACACGCCTTCATTTATATTTGAGGCAATGTAGTCAATTGTAGTGGATGAGGTTTCAGTGATGCGCGTAGACTCCCGAACGTGTGTGTTAAAATTGAAGGACTCGAACAAGTTTAACAGATTGATGGTTGATCTGTTATCAGTGTCCTCAAAATCTATGTTCAGGTCACCAGCAAGTATCACTGTGTTAATTGTAGGAAATTAGACAATAAAAATTCAAGTCTTTCAAGAAAGACGTTTAGGTTGCAATTTGGAGATCTATAAATACAAATAATGAAACATTTTAGCTTTTTGGAGTGAATAATGGAAAACTCAAACTGCATTTCAACCAGCAAATCATCATAATCGTTAAAATTACGAAAACTATCAAAAATATAATCATCCACCAAGGCAACAGTACCGCCATGCAAGGAGTGCTCTCTACAAAACCTAGAAATAATAGTATATCCGGGAACATGTAATGGTTCATCCGGCTTAAGCCAGTGTTCCGTCAATAAAACAATGTTAGGGAATTTCAATTCCTCTAGAAAAATAAATAAATTATCAGCTTTGTTACGAACTGATTGAATATTTAGAAGCAACAAAGATATGCCTGTGTCAGATTTCCTTACTCTAAAAAAGAATCTTGTTCGGTACAAGGCAGCTTTCGACTGATTTCGAAAGCTGAGTGTTCGGTAACACAATATTTTATGGTAGAAAGGGTTGATGAAAACCACCTATTTAAAATATTATTTCTACAAATTTTAACTTTTAAAAAAACAATTACTGAATAAAATTAAATGTTGTAACCATGTATTGCTCAGTGGGATTTATGAGAAGAAGAGCGCGCAATTAAATTTAGGGGACCGTACTACGAAGGGAAGGTAGAAGAGAATAGGCAACTAGACGCTAGAATGGAGAACGCGCTGGCCTGGTCCCTTGGAAAACGTGTTGCATGTCCGTAATTATTCATTTCTCAATTTTCATTTCTATTTTGCATTAAAATTGATTGTTTAATCCAATTTGTTATTAGTGGGCGTGTAAGGAGAGTTCACAGGTTAGTGTATTTAATGTTATTTTGTTTTTGAGAGTTCAATTTATGCAAGTTCCTATTATTTTGTTCATTTTTATGCATTTTTGTTTGTTTATAACATTTTTTATAACATGTGCATTGTTCATGTATTTAACCAGAATCGTTTCATACTGTAAACAACACAGATAGAGAAGTAAATTAAAACCTAAGAAATTATGTGCTGTCTTTTTGTGCTAGGATTTTGATTTTTGGATTTAGAGCGTGCATTAGAGCCTTGTTGAATTTACTAACATTTTCCTACCCTGACGAGAGAATATCCTAACAAATTGAAATAATCAATCTAGAGATATTGGCTCAAACTCAATTATAGCTGAGTAGCTTCCCGTATGGGACCTCAGTACCTGCTGGGAAACTGGCTAACTAACTAAAAACTCTTCAGTTTGGAATATAGGTAGTGTTGATTGAATGTCGTGTGTGTAATTGAAATTTTAGCACAAGAACAGGGGCGGTACCTAGTTTCAGCTTTTATTGAATTATTGACTCACAATTATTATTAAAATTACACAGTATGTTTCGATTTTTGGGGAATCGAGGTTTTCTCTTCCGTTCTCTTTTTCCTCGTTAATTCCAGGTCGAGAACGGTACGTTTTTCTTTGAAAATAAAGGAGGCGTTTCACAAATTTTGAAAGCCTTGATAGTCGAAATCTGCCATTTACTTTATTATTATCTAAAATTCTAATGGATGCATTATGGTTTTTAAGAAAATTTTGACAAAAGGAAACAAAACCTACATACTTATTGTATTCAGAATTTGAATATGACACAGAAAAAAACAAGTTTGTATATTTACCAATGGCACATAATTTTTTGAGATAAAATGAAGAAAGAAATTTAATAGAACTCAGTTTTAAGACTACAATAACATTATCCGCACTTGTGTATCCTATTGTCAATTGGAACAGTTTGTCAGCCATCTGCGAGGTAGTAATAGCAGGGTGACATTCTCCATAAATTGAGTAAGCACTAGTCAAGTTAAGTAGACCATTAACCAGGCCTCGTGAACTCTCGTCTCCAAGAACCAAGATGTTGCTCTTACTTATGGGACAGGCTGAAACTGGTGTAGATGGAGGTGTAGATATAAGCGTTATAGAGCCGCCGGTACTTGCTATTTGCTGATGCCGATCTATAGCTGATAGTTCATTGGGCAAGGATGTTTCTATTTGTTTACTACTGGAACCACTTGAGGAAAGGACACCATCAGTATTTGAAGCAGAAACCCTTCCTATGTCCTTTGTCTTTCTTCCGATATTGATACTTTGCCCAACAATTCTCCTTGATTGACCCACTGCACCACCCTTACTTCCTGTCTCCTTAAGTTTCCTATTCTCACGCTTCAGATCATCAATATCATGTAAATATTTCTCTAGATCATAAGTCAAGTTACAGTTAATTTGCAACATTCTTCCGATTTCGGTATTGAGGTTTTTAATATCTTCCTTGCCGGCTGCAACTTCCTCTATTAAGTCATCAACAAAGTTTTGTCTTGACATTGTTATTTCTCTATCTTTCATTTCCAACTCTTTTTTCAATTGATCTATTTCGTCAGTCTTATAGTCAACTTCCTGTTCCTTGTCTTTAATTATTCTTGTTAGATCAGATATACGTTGTCTTAGTTTCTCATTTTCTAATCTTTCGGTATCTAAGTCATTTTTAATTTTTGGGCCAAACTTCTCCATGTCTATCTTAAGCTCTTTGTTTACCAATTTTGCTCTCAACAAGCTCTGCACTAATGATTTATTCTCACTCTTAAGTCTATCAATTTCAGATTCATGCTCCCTCTCAGTTAAAAACACTTCATCCTGAAACTCCACTGTATTTCTACGTAATGCATCCATTTGCCTTCTGTCACTCTTATGGTGGTATTGAGATTGTCTATTTGTTTGCAAAAATTAGTGTTATTCTCCTCAATCCTTTCCTCCATCTCCTCCATTGACCGGATGAACCCGAGCTCTAGCTGTTTGTTTTTCATCTTTCTTTAATGAACACGACACGATTATTGAAAAAAGACAAAATAGGTACTCCATCTGGGGATCGGATCAGCGTTTCCGTATAGACTTATGGAAGGAAGGAACCAAATAAAACGCTTTATTAGGAGAAGGAGTACTCGGAGTACCTATACCTGTGATGACCGCTAGATTGCTGCGCAAGCGCAAAATAGTCCGCATGCGCATTTGGAGCAATCGACGAGGCCTTGGGACTGTTCCAACACGTCGAAAACCGTCCCATGAACTGTTTTCAACGAACTGTCATAAACAAGACAAATTATATAAAATCATAGATTTATAGAATAGCCGCTGTTGGATAAACAAACATATCTATTCAACTTCACATTCATCCTCATGGAAATTTGGACTATCCCGAATCCCGATAAAACTTGTCAATTTTATGGCTGGACGACTTGGGGTACTTGGAAACCCTGGATTTTCTTTTTTTTTCTGTAGATCCCTATGATTAAAGATTAAAGTAGATTGAAAAAAATCTCTGGCATGTTTGAGCGGGATCCCAAAACATGCCGAATATCACCATTTCCAGATGACCTGCGTACTTCAGACAAAAGTCTAGTCGTAGCAATAGGCAAAGCTCCAGACACCGTTATACCATGTTATACCAAATGTCTCGTAATTAGTGCGGTCTTTGTATCTTGGTATTTTAGACGAAAAGAGATAACCTCTCCAAAATGCATGATCTGACAACCTGTGAAATCCACTCCTTTTAATATCTGAGATTTGCCGCTGATGATGAGATTTTCTAATCTCGAAACATGTAGGGCTCATTGAATTTATTAAAGTTTTTGTGAAGAAAGCCTGAGTTTTTCTTTTGGAATTATATTTCACTTTGAGATACGGACTTCTTCTTCAATTATTGAAAAGAGCTAATCGAAACTAACACAAATTAACCCGTCCTCGTAATTAATGATAGTATTTGTATGTTGGTATTTCAGACGAAAGAGCTAATCCAAACTAAACCCAAACTAAGTCGTTCATATAATAATGCCCGAACAATGTGATATTTTCGATAGGTATAATTCATCATTCTGTCACAGTTTTTACAAATGTGAAATTCCGAATTCCGTGCAGTACAAATGAAAATCTAATAATTGATCTTATAGGATAATAAACCGTATTGAAATGTTACGTTCTCAGATTTTTTTTATTTTTTAATTTTTTTTCCAAATCTTGCTGTTGGTTTAGCGATTTTTTTCATACAGTTGCGTTCAGTATAGTATCCAGTTAGGCCCTACGTAAATCACGCTTTCGCACCTCGGTACTTATGCGTATGAACCAATGTGGCGTGCTTGACTGATGCGCGGATGCCCGTATGGTGAGGCACAGGTAGATCTAAAAAGAGACATTCATTATATAGGCTATGATGTGTGTGTTTCTCCTCACTTGGCTCTATCCTTCTAGAATCCCAACAACGAGCCACTGAGGTTAAGATCCGGCGTGAAAGTATGTAATATACTTGATTCAAACCCAAGCTAATCTTGGAATACGAAACACAAATTTAGCGTTGAAAAGATCCCCGGAAACATCTATACCATACCTTAGGTGCGCTACAATTGAAAATTAAACCAAAATATGCAACCTTAACAGTTCCCCTAATTAATTTCCTGCTTAGAGCTTTAATTCCATACTACCCAACAAACACAAGTTCGTCTTTAGTACGTCCATAATTCGTACTTTTTCGGACGAAAGTACGTCCGCGGACGTACTTTTTAAGTCCCGCCGACGTCCGAGTGACGTCTTTAAGACGGTCGTTTTCCACAAAATAGTACGTCCCACGTACGTACATTCAACGACGTACTCAGTACGGCTTTTTAGGTACCTACGTGTTGGGGACGTACATCAACGTACGTATTTAGTAAAGCTTTTTATGAATGTGTTTGGGACGTACAGGGTTTTCCCATATATTTTTGCTGGTTGATTAAATAGGCGTCAAAAAGATGTAAATACAAATGTTGTATTTACACCCTTTTGATACCTATTCAATTAACCTGTTCAGATGGGGTGCAAAAATATAGGAGAAAACCCTATACATAAGGGTACCTACATATGTATTTATGTGTAATTTTATAGTGAAAAATTAAACCATATAAATATTTTATTTTCAAGTGACAATTTTTATACTTAATAAATACCTTAACAATTACACTGAGAAACTGAAAAAAATTAACACAAGATCAAATATGTATAACATAGATACCCTTGAGATCAATTATAAAATATAACATACCCTTAAACTTAACGTTAAACAACAGTAAATATAACAAATCTAAAAAAAATAGGTAGGTAACCTACAAACATTGAGAGAATTGTAAAGGGGCACAAATCAAGAAAAGTTCCACACAGTAAAAATCTTGGTAAAAGTATTATTATACACAAAAAACAAAGCTAAACACGTTGCTGCAATCAAAACAAAATGGTTCCCGCTTCACTTGACTTGGTAAAAAAAAACAAAAATAGAAGAAAACACAACCTCACACCACACTATAAACGAGCTACACATACAAGACAAAAAGGTAAAATAAAGCAGGTAGGAACAACTCAAACGAGGCAAACGGTGCTGCCAGCTCAAACCATTTCTAGCTGGGAAATGTTTGGTGCGCCCGCTAGTACCTACGTCAAAACCACCAATTAAATAAATTTTTAATTTTCAACTAAAAATTTCAAAAATATGCATTGAAATTGTAGTTTCAATACATTATGGTAGATTTAGCTTTTGATTATCGATTATTGAATCGTAGTCAAAATTATGATAGATTTCGATAATTATCGGGTCATTGGCAACACCCTGCTGATGCCAAGTGGCTGGCGTCCCTTCTTCAGTGGCGTATACAGGGGGGGGGGGGCAAAGGGGGCAATTGCCCCCCCCCCAGAGCAATAACCTTTTATTATTTTTATTTCTTAAAAATATCTCAAATAACAAAAATATTTTTTTTCTACTCGCGTGCGCAAAGTTATTACTTTGCACACTCCCTTGCGTACGCAAAGTTGAACTTTGCGCACGAAAACTCATTGCGCACTCATTTTTGTTTCGCATAATTACCGTATTGATACGGGATCCGTGACTTATACTGGATCTTTCAATGTTTTGTGGGAAGGGCTTAATATTATTTTTGTTCCAAGAAAGACATTCAGGTAATGGTAATGTTGGGCTTTTTAGATTGATACTTTCCCTATGAGGAACGAGGGGAAGAAAAATCCAGCAGCGATGTCATTGGGTGACCATTGGCGTGAGGAGCCACCAACTCACAATCCTTTGGAGTATCAGATTATAAGAGTTGGACAGTTAGTTATACTCCTCCGTATACTTCCTTACCTAATGGTGTTGCGGAAAGAATGAATCAGACACCAATGGACATAGCAAGATCTATGATAATGCAAGCAAAAATGGATAGAATATTTTGGGAAGATGCTGTTAGCTGTACTTGTTACTATATAAAACTAATTTAAAAAGTCACATGAAAAAATATCATCCTGCCAAGTTTAGTCTCAAAGATTGGCAGGAAAAAACAAATTTTAAGTAAACCTCGCTAGCACAACCACTGTTGCAAATAAAATCAAGCTGATCACTGCAAAAAAAAGAAGAACACAGCACATCGAGCTAAGAGAGAAAATTACCAGTTTTGAGCAGCTGGGAAACATTTAAGAAGATGACGTACAGCTCCTCTGGATGCTATGCAAATTTTCAAACACTCGTAGAAAAACGAGTAGAAAAAGTATTTTTCCTAACACTTGCGGTAAGTGTCTTTCCTGCACTGAAAGCTTCACAAACTCTGCTTCACGTCGTTCGTCTAACTGCTTTTTCGTGCGGGAAAGTATCACTTTGCGCACTTGTTAGGAAAATAACTATTTTTATGTAGTTATGTATTACATACCTTGAACTTAACTTGAGTTTGGTTTTGTATTTTTGTTATAATATGTTACTTGTTTCTTGAAAGACGATTTCTCATGAATGATGAACATCCCAAAACTTCTTTCAGTGGCGGCTAGCAGGCTAATAATACGGAACAAATACGAACACTACTTTATTTTTCGGTGAAAATATATTTTTTGTCCTATAAAAGTATTGGATGCGCGCGAATATGCCATCAAGATATGTGATTTCAACGACTTTTGGGCGTGGCACCTCAAAAAATTTCCGCCTCCGGCGGACATCTGGTTTGCCCCCCCCAGAGCCTCAGGCTGGATACGCCACTGCCCTTCTTGTTTTCCATTCTTTTTGCTTATTTCATGTTTATTTCAACATTTGACAAATTAAGGTCAGGTACCTAGATGGAATAATATAAATCCTTGATTATATGACCTGGCTTATTTAAGTTTAGATCTAAGGTTTAATAATAAGAATCCATGTCAAAGACCGGCATTTTTGGATTTAGGGTTTAGAGATTAATTTGGAAGGATCACTTCCGTATCTTTTCCTTGGAAATTGCATATTATTTAAAAATATATTATTATCAGAAATCGAGTCAGCAATTACTAAAAAAATCATGAATAGATGGGAATGATCCAGCTCGTCCTGTATTGTTCGTCTTTGAAACGAACATGTACGTCTTCTACAAGACGCAATATAGATTTTTACGTACGTTCTTATAGTCGGGCCACCGAAGAAATATAGTTGTAAAACGATTACTCGCTAATCGACGCCCATAAATTATCCCGCAACCCTCTGAAGAACAGATCATTTTATAGTGGAGCGCATTTAGTAGATGTTGTTCGTCTGTGACATTGTGCTGTGATTCGAATTGTGCTATTTTAGATTTTAGAAATTACTGAGTATTTTACCTACCTACATTCTCGAAACTAGAAAATTTATATTGAATAATGAGTTAATA